CCCCTGCTTCCCAACGCGATCTGCCATCCCTTCCAACGCTCCTCCCCTGATCTACCCCCCGCCTGGGCGCACATGCACGCCGGGACCTTGGCGGAGCGGCACATCTGCTAGAAGACAATGCAAGTGTCCTATGATGAGCTCAACGATTCCAGTTCGAGTACAAACTGTGAGAGTTTGGCCTACCGATCCTTTAGCGTGTTGGGACTTTAAGCTAGAGGGGGCGGAAAAGTTACCACACGGATAACGGGTTTGTGGTCATCATCATCATCATCATCATCATCATCATCATCATCATCATCATCATCATCGCCGCTATTGTCGACATCATAATTGCCACAGCCTCTCACCTTCATTGCGCGCATTCGATCCGGCGACCTCGTCGTTCCACGGGGGGAACGATCGGGAAGACCCTTTAGGGGTTAATTGAAGACCTTCCTCGACTAGGAGGAAGGACCTTGATTGCTCCCGGCCGACCGGGAGAGCGGTATTGTCAATCTATCTCCCTCTTACTAATCCCCTCCCTTCCTCCCGCTGACCTCTCTCAAAGATCTCATCTTTTTCCTCTTCTTTTATCTCCTCTCCAAGCCCCCTTCTCTTCTCCACCCTCCCACCTAATTGGTCGCATCATCCAAAATTTCTACTCCGTGTGACACGTATCTTCCTTCTTTGTGCTTGCCTGACAATGTCGTCCATTCTGCTGTTCATAATTTCAATCTAATTCGATAGGATTAATCTTCATCTTCTTCACACCGAACGCCGTGATCGGAATTAATTTCGGCAGTGTTGTTCAAAAGTTATGCAAATTTCTATAGTTTCTTGATTCGTTTCGATATTTAATTTGAAAATTCACTTTCATTTCAGAAATTCGTGAAATAAATTTCGGAATTCACTACAAAGAATTCTTCCAATGACGAATTTCCTTCTATTTTCTATCTCCCGTAAAATTCCGAAATTCTTCCGTTGTTTTGAAATTCTTTTGAAATTCTTTTGAAATTTCTTTGAAATTCATCTTAATCTTGTAACAAGTCAAGAATTTTTATTCATTTGATCTAGATAATCCTGGAATTTCTCTCAACTTACTATACGCGGCTATCACTATTTTTTTATGAAATTTCATCGTAAATTCTTAATTTAGGAATTTGTTTTCTACTTTTATTTCAAATTGCCTTTGAAATTATTTTAATTCCGAAAATACGTTGAGGAATTTTTCATTTTACTTCAAAAATTTTCCTCTCAACTCATCTCTACCTCTTTTATCATCCCCCTGAACTTTTGGTAATTCTTACGAATATTTTTCAAACTTGTTGAATTTTGCTTCAATTTCCTTAAAATTCTGAATTTACGCCCAAACAATTTCGGAATTTTATTTTGACCTCGTGATTGTCTTATACATACCTTCTTTCATACCCCACGCCATCTTCTGGAAATTTCCTCAATTTCCCCGCCCGAATTGGAAATTTTACTGTTCCTCCCTCAATTCGATTTTCAATTTTCTCGATTTAATCTCAGAAGTTCGTTAGACCTCATTTCTACTCGCCTCCCTCTTGCAGTCCCTTACTCCCCTCTCTGCGTGTCACCCTGGCTCCCCGTGACATCCAACAGCGCGCACTCCAAAATCGCGCTCGAGACGCTTGTGCCGCCAATAGACTCGCTCGCTTTAACGCACCGACCGCGGCCACAGATCGTCCCTCTCGTCACGGTGCTCCCTCGACATCATCTTCATCTTCTTCATCTGTTGATTCCATGCAGAGTGCAGATTCGGTGAGCCCCTCCCACTCCATCAGTGAAGGGCTTGCGCTACTAGCTCGTGATACCATGGCCGATTCGACTCACATTTCCACCCCTATGGCCACCAGTTCGGGCCCAGCCGCCGAATCGGATCGCCTACTGGCTCTCCTCGAGAACATGCAGGCCAGATTCGAGGCCAGGTTAGAGGCCAAATTCACGGCCCTCCACACCGACTTTTCGTCCCTGTCGGCCTGCGTGTCACAGTTGGAGCCCCGTACCAGTGTACCTCCCTCCCCACCCCCCTCATCTGCATCCATGCCAGCTTCCTCTCCTTCTTCGGCTGGCGTCATCTACACGCTTGTCTCTTCCACGGGTTGCATGTCCTCACCCCAGTCCCAGCCTTCCTATGCAGCCATCTCTTCCTCCCAGGTTCCCGCCCCTGCACTCCCCCCCTTAGGACCCATGGCATCTTGTCCCGCCACCTCCTCGACGTTAGTTTCCACGACACCTCCCTCATCACCCCCCGCTCCTTCGGCCCCCCCCCCCCCCCCCCCTTACACCCAGGACACAGAATGCTGAGCTCCAACGCCAGCTCACCCTGGCCCATGATCACATCCGCCAGCTCCAAGGAGGTCAACCCCTGCCTCCCCATCTCGCGGCACAGCTTGTTGCCCCTTTAATCTATCGACAGCATCAGACACAGGCCGCTGCGATGCATTTCACGCTCCCACCACCGGCCACCACGATGTGTCACGGACCTTTGCCCCAACTTCCCGCTTTTTGTAGTGGTCCTGCTGGTGCCACTACTTATGTCCTCTTGTCACAATCGGCTCTTCCTCTCCCTACCCATTATCGGCCCCCGACGTATGTTCCACAGTTTCAACGGGACCATCTCCCACAGTTTGACGGCAGGGCCTCCGAGCTCCAAGGATGGATCACTACCGCTGAGGAGCAGCTTCGCTACCATGGTGTCGCCATGGAACTGTGGCCCGTTGAGATGTCCTCTCGCTTTACACGTAGTGCAGCCTCCACCTGGCGCGACTCCCTCGCCCTTCGCTCACAGCGCGGCATATGAGGGCATGTCTTATCCCGAGTTTCGCGACTTCCTTCAACAGTACTTTTCTCGCCCTGCGCCAACCCGTGACCTGATTACCCGTGTGGCTGAGATCAGATGGCTTGGTGGCGACAATGCCTTAGAGTCATACATCACGACATTCCACCGTGTACGCGCTCAGATTCCCGTCATAGCCATACCAGAGGACACCATGATCCAGCGATTCCGCGCAGGACTACCCCAACCATTCCAGTTTCAGATGTTGGCGTATTCAACACCCACCTTACCGGAGGCTTTCAACATTGCTAGAGCCATTCATCTCACTTACACTCCACTCGTCGGCCCCTCGCCTCAGCCCGTTGCTGCCCATTCCGCTACTACTGCAGCCCCTCGCCCCTCTCAGCCTCGACCGTCTTCCACATACCGTCGTGGCCCTCGCAGAGGCTCTGGACGATCCCTCTCTCGTCGCTTGCATGCCCTGCTTCGTGATCCGTCGAGCGTTGATGATGGCACTACCTCAGATGGTTCTGTGAGTGACCCAGATGAGGGACCCGACCCTCAATCCCCCGCAGAGGACGACGCCTCTTCCCAGGACGACCGCCTCATCCGGGCCCTTTCCGCCCTACTGTCCCTTAACTACCTCTCCCCGCGGGCTTTGTGTTCCCTCGCAGCTGCTTGACCATCGCTGAGAGTGAGGACCTTCGCACATGAGGCATCTGCACCCGCTGCCGCCTCGCTGGCCATACCTCCTCTACCTGGCCGTATGCAGACGCCCTCCAGAGTCACTTCGCAAAGCAAGCTCACCCTCAGGCTGTTCCCCCCGTCTCAACCTCCAGCGCAGCACCCACCTAGCTGCGATGTCCCATTTCCCTCACTCTCCTACGGTAGCAGGCATACCTGTTCACAACTTTACCTTTGCACCGCTTGCTACTCTTCCCGATGACCCTGGTCCAACCTTATCTGTGGGTGACCCTATCGACACTTGTATGCCTTCTCCTTCCTTGCCTAGCGTCCCCCGTGACCCCCCTCCTCCACGCCCTCCTACCAGGCGTGCTCTTTGCACCGCCCGCTCCAGTGCTTCCCTTATTGCAGCCGAGGATATCATTGACTTCCTGGACCTTGAGTGTGTTAAGGTCCACCAAGAACATCTCCGCCTTAAAGAGCGCACCCTGTCCGCGATGTCTCAGCGCCTACACAATCCTGATCGCACCTTACCGATTATTCCAGTGCGCCTCGGGACCTCTACCAGAGTGTATCGCGCACTATGGGACTCTGGCTCTACTGGCGACTTTATTCATCCTTGTGTAGTTAAGGAGGCATCTCTCTATACATCCGCCTACCCTTCCACTGTCACTGTCACGCTTGGCGACAATCAAGCTAAATCCTTCGTCGATTCGGTGGTGCCTGATCTTCCATTCTCCTTCCCCCTGCGGATGCCCTACAGCCTTCACAAGGCCCCTTGGTTCCATGACAAGTGGACCTTCGATGTCATGGAAACCCTATATGATCTTGTTCTTGGCACTGCCTATTCCCATCAGTTCACCCATGCCGGCCCCGATTCGACCCACAACGATATCATCCTCAACGCCAAGGATGGGAAACAATATCGTATTCCGTTGTTGGGCAAATCGGACTCTGCACTTCACCCCCCTGCTAATGTCACCATCTGTACACCTACCCAGTTCCACCACCTCCTTCGTGAGCCTGATGTAGAACTTTATGTTGTCGACATCACGAATCTCCTCACCTGCAACTCCATGCATCAGGACGTTGAGTTGGTCGAGCTCGATCCACCACCTCCCGAGCCCCCCGACCCTCCTGATTCCTCAACTTCCTGAACCCCCTCCACCCCTGTTAGCCCATTTCACTTTTTCGCTTCCTTTATCACTGATACACCCTCAGTCCCTACCCCTATACAAACCCCCTCCACCCCTGCTTCAGACGTTGCCGCTGCCAAGGAATTCGACACCATTCTTTCTTCCTTGCCGCCTAACGTTGGTGCCCTCCTTCGTGAGTATCACGATGTTTTCCCACCATTTGTCTCCTATAGCAACATTCCTCCCATGCGTGGTATCGAGCACCACATCCAGCTCGAGCCCAACTATCGCATTCAGAATTGTGCCCCTTATCGCCTTTCGGTTCCCGAAGCCCAGGAACTCAAGCACCAACTTGAGGAGCTGCTTCGTCTCTGTATTGACTACCATGGTCTGAACCACTACACGGTCAAAAATAGCTATCCCATGCCTCACGCGGATGACCTGTTTGAACGCCTCGTCGGCCACCATTTCTTCACGAAGATCGATCTTCGTAGCGAATATCACCAGATCCGCGTAGCCGAGGAGGACCAGCCCAAGACCGCTTTTCGTTCTCATTTCGGGCACTACGAGTTTACCATCATGCCTTTCGGTCTCCGTAATGCCCCCGCCACTTTCCAGACGGCTATGAACACGATGTTCCAAGACCTTCTTGGGGACTATGTTCTAGTCTACATTGACGACATCCTGATCTACAGTCGTACCCTAGAGGATCACCTGACCCACCTTCGCACTGTTCTGCAGCGATTACGCGACCACGGGTTCTATGCGAAGCTTTCCAAATGCAGCTTTGCTCAACCCAAAGTCGACTTCCTCGGGCATCAGGTCTCCGAGCACGGACTCCATATGGACGACTCGAAGATTCAGGCCATTGTCGACTGGCCCACTCCTACCTCTCTTCCTGCGCTGCGTAGTTTCCTTGGGTTGACCAACTACTATGGTCATTTTCTTAAAAACAAAGCGCAGTATTCTTCCCGGCTTACCCCTTTGACTCGCGGACGTCTACCTTTTCATTGGACCCCGACTCACGAGGATGCTTTCCGCTCTCTCAAGCGACTTGTCACGTCACCTCCTGTCTTACACTTACCTGACTACTCGTGCCCATTCATCGTCATCACCGACGCATCCGACTTCGCTATTGGAGCTGTTCTCTCCCAGATCTACCCAGCCCCCTCTACTTCTCCGATTCCACAGAGCCCCACCTCCCTCGCATTCCTCGCTTCCCTCCTCCACCTTCAGCGACAGTGGCTCATCTTGCACCCATCCATCCCACCCCCTCAGGGGCCCCACCCCCTTACATTTCTAACGTCGCTCATGACGGTACAGTCGAGTCTCGCGATGGAGAGTGTCCGGTTGCTTATCTATCTCGACAGCTACTTCCCGCTGATCGTAACTACACTGCTGACGAGCGTGAGGTCCTCGCGTTGGTCTGCGTTGTTAAGAAGTGGCGTCATCACTTGCACGGTCACACTTTCACCGTTTTGACGAACAACTCTGTCCTCGCCGCCTTCCAGACGAAGCCTAAGCTCACTTCTCGTCAGGCTCGTTGGTGGCGTGACCTCTCAGAGTTCGACTTTACCATCAAGAAGATTTCCGGCGAAAGCAATCGCGTCGCAGATGCCTTATCCCGCCGCCCCGACCTTCAGTGTGAGGATCATCAGCTATCTGCTATTTCAGCTCCCACCATCCACCCCGCCTTTCTGGATGAGTACCGCCGCGCATACACCCAGTGCATTGAGTTTCAGTCCATCTACGCTGACCTACAGGCTGGCAAGGCCGTCCCTAACTTCCCGCTCGATCCCTCTGGACTCCTATACTGGCTTGGTCGCCAAGGTACCCGTACTCCTCGCTGATGTGTGCCCTCTACTGGCCAGCTCCGTGTTCGGGCTGTCGCTGAGTGTCACGACCAGCGCGCCGCCGGTCATCTCGATGTCTTCAAGACACTTGACCGCCTCTACCACCATTACTACTCGGAGCACCGTCGTCCCTTCACTAAGGAGTATGTCCGCACCTGCAGGATCTGCCAGGAGGCCAACATTCCCAACCACCCCCCCTACGGTCTTCTTCAACCCTTACCCATTCCCGCTCAGCATTGGACTTCTGTCTCCATGGACTTCATCAGTCCTCTTCGTCCCCCCACCCCACGAGGCCACGACACCATCTTCGTCGTTGTCTGTCGGTTGACTAAGCATGCTCACTTCCTCCCTTGCAAGTATGCTAGTTCCACCAAAGACATCGCCTCCTTATACTTTAACCGCATTGTCATTCATCACGGTCTTCCCACTAGCATCATCTTTGATCGCGATCCCCGCTTTACTTCGCATTTCTGGCGTGGACTCCATGAGATCTATGGCTCTGAGCTCCGCCTCTCCTCCTCCTATCACCCCCAGTCAGATGGACAGACCAAGGCCACCAACAAAACTCTTGGGAGTATCCTCAAGAAGTTTGTTGAGAATGACTCTGATTGGGATCTGCATCTTGCTCATGCAGAAATTGTTTATAACCATGCTATTTCACTTGCCACTGGCATGTCTCCCTACTACTGTGACTTGGGATACCATCCTCGTGTCCCATCTGACCTTCTCCGTCCATCTCAAATCCATCCCGACACCAAATGCCCTGCCCTCGATGACTGGGTAAAGGAGATGGATGCGCTTCTTAGCAAGGCTCGCGAGAGCATTGCTGACTCCCAGACTCGCATGGCCACTCGCGCTAACCGCTCTCGCATCGACCATCCCTTCAAAGTTGGCGATGAGGTTTTTGTCGACGCACGTCACTTCCAGCCTGAAGCTGACACACTTCGGAAATTCAGACGTCGATATATTGGACCATGCACCATTCTTGCACCCGCCGAACCCAATCATGACTGTCCGGTGAGCTTCAAATTGAAGCTCCCCGATTTCATGTACCGCGCTAACTTACATGACGTGTTCCATGTATCTCTTTTGCGCCCCTTCAGACGGTCTCCTCCCGAGTTCCATGGTCGACCTTACCCTCGCCCCTCTCCCATCATCATTGAGGGTCACGAGGAGTTTGTCGTCTCTGATATCGCGTCCCGGTGTATGACTGGTGGTGACCCTCCCCGCCTCGAGTATCTCGTTCGATGGAAGGGTTATCTTGACGAGGAGTCTACTTGGGAGCCTCTTGAGCACCTGAAGCATGCCATGACTTTCGTGCGTGCTTACCATCGTGCTCATCCTTTCCCTTCATCATCCTCCCCCCCTACTTCTCGTCCTTCTACTACTGACCCATCTACCTCTGCGACCACTAACATTCCCCCTCTTCCATCGATGGGTCCTCCTGCTCCACTGGTACCCGCCTTAGGTCCTCCTTCCCCTGTGGATGTGGTTCCGCCTGTTGTTGCAATTGATTCCTCTCACCCTCAGCATACCCATCGACTTCCTTCTCGTTATCGTGACTAAACTGTACCCCCCATACACTCTCTACCCTTTACCATTTCTGGACACTTATGCAGCAGCTCCTGGTTTCAGCTTCTACATTCAGCTTCTACATTGGGCTTGTACATCGACTTCCGACCTCAGTGCTTCTCCTCAGTACCGGAGTACCTGTCGCATTGTTCCGGACTTCTACTCGGTTCTTGCGGTAGTCCTACTTCATCCAGGCTACTTCGGTTCGACTTTAGTCTGGAGACTCATCAGTTGGACTACTTCATTTTTTTTCGGCTACAGAGTTCCCATCATTCCCACCTATCCACCACTCTCGAGCTTACCCTTCAGTCGCATGATGACCCCTATTTTCCTTGTCTATGTGGGTGTGTCCGCTTGCCGCCCGTCTGCCTTACCTTATGCTGCGCGCCCTCCTCTGGAGTGTACATTTTCTTTGCTCGCGGTTCTTGGCCACATGTCTATGTCGGCATAGCCCTCTCTCCTCTTCCAGGCTCACTTTATGTGTGCTCCCTTGTATGAGTACCCTTCCCCTTTCAGCTGGCGGTACCCGTTTGATGGTTTCCATTGAGCCCGGTGTCGTGTTGTTACTCTCTCTCTGAGCCTGATGACCCTTACCTGGTTGTGTGGGTGCCCCCTTGGAGTTTACTCTGAGAGCTGTACCTGCCGCCTTCCCACCCATTCCTACCCCTGCCATGCGACCGAGTTCCCTTCTCTTGACTGAGTTTCCTTCTCTTTTGTTCAGGAATTCTGCATTGTGTACAGGGCACGTGAGATTGTGCCACATTCGTTTTCGACTTAGGACATTGGTTTAGTTATTCTTTGGGCTTTTGGGCCCTGGTGTTGATTTATATTCAACCTATTTGGCTCATGAGACATTTTTTTTTTTCCTCTTCCTTGGCCGACACAGGTCAGACATTTTTCTCTTTCTTGGCCGACACAGGTCAGACATTTTTTTTCTCTTTCTTGGCCGACACAGGTCAGACATTTTTCTACTTTTTGGGTCRACACAGACCAGACATTGTTGTATAGATTAGGCTTGAGGCTTAGTCTGCATTGCATCCCTTTTCCTGCATGGAGTCTGCTCCGCATCTAGGATTGTTTCTTTTGCCGTTCCTTTTGGGTTTCCGCTATTTCAGCGAATAGCGTGTTTGATGTATCGTTTGATCCATTCACAGGTCCGAGAATCGTGTAGCGGTACACCTACGGCCCGGCAGTGAGGCCGGACCAGTTTCAGGCCATCGGCCTGACCCTGGTCCGGTACCAGGTTGTTCCGTACCTGGACCTAGGCCGGTATATCACTTCGGCCTAGGCCCAAGGTGGGAGGTTGGTTCATTCATTCGTTCATTTATTCAGTGGGACCGAGCCACGTTCAGTTGTTGCTTCTCTGTGTGTGTCCATCTTCTCTCTCTCTCTCTCTCACCATCTCCGCACGTGCCCTCCGCACGTGCGTCACATTCGTGGCCGCCATCATCATCAGCAGCAGCAGCATCAGCAGCAGCATCGTCCTCATCAGTGCCGCCATTGCCGACGTCACCATTGCATTGGCTCGTCATCATCAGTTCGTGCATTTAATCCGGCGACCTCGTTGTTCCACCGGGGAATGATCGAGAAGACCCTTTAGGGGTTGATTGAAAACCTTCCTTGAGTAGGAGGAAGGACCTTGATTGCTCCGGTCCGACCGGGAGCACCGTATTGTCAATCTCTCTACCTCTTACCAATTCCCTCCCTTCCTCCTCCTCTCCCATCCCATCCAATTGGTCGCATCATCTAAAATTCCTAACGCGTGACACATAGATCCTCTTTTTGTGATTGTCTGACAATGCCGTCCATCCCGCTGTGTGGAACGCTGACCTAATTCGATAGGATTAATCTTGATTCTCTCTTCTTCCAACGCCGCAATCGGAATTAATTCCGGCATTTTTGTTCAAAAGTTAACTAAATTCTTTATTACATCATTTTTTTTTCATAAATTAGTTTAAAGTTTGATTTTAATTCAGAAATTCGTGAGATAAATTCTGGGATTTACTAAATTTAATTCTTTTGACGTTGACTCGACTCCTATTTCCTCTTCCTCGTAAAATTCCGAAATTCTGCAATTCTTTGTAAAAAATATTTTGAAACTTCTTTTGAAATTCTTTTTAAATTGGCAACGTGTTGCTAAATTTTCTTAAATTAATCTAAATAATTTCGAAATTTATCTCGATTTACTTTATTGGCTGTCATTAATTACTTCTTAATTTAGGAGTTAGTTTCTTATTTTTATTTCAAATTCCCGTCGGAATTTTTTTAATTTCGGAAATACGCCACATAGTTTTTCCTTTTCTTTCAAACTTTTCCTCTGAACTCACCTTTACCTCTGCTATCATCCTCCCGAGCCTTTGGAAACTTTTACGAATAATTTTAAAATTTGGTGAATTTTGTTTAAATTTTCGTTAAATTCTGAATTTATGTCCAAATCATTTCGAAATTTTATTTCGACTTCGTGATTGTCTTATGCATCCCTTCTTCTATACCTCACGCCATCCTTTGAAAATTTCCTCTCATTCCGCCACCCGAATTGGAAATTTTACTTTTCCTCCTCAATCTGATTCTCAATTTTCTTGACTTAGATCTCATTTCTACACGCCCTCCTTTCTTGGCCCCCTTTTTCTGCATGCCAATCTGGCTCCCCGTGACAACCAGCAGCGCGTACTTCAAAATCGTGCCCGAGATGCCCGTGCCGCACACCGACTCGCTCGCTTTGACGCGTCGATCGCTGCCACTGAAGGCCCCTCTCGTCCCAGTTCCCCCTCTTCATTGTCTTCATCCCCTAACTCTATGCAGAGTACTAAGCTAGCAAGTCCCTCCCGCTCCATCAGCGAAGGCCTTACGTTTCTAGCTCGTGACACTATGTCTGACCCGGCGGAGATTCCCACACTTGCGCCTGGCAGTTCGGGCCCCGCCACCCAGTCAGACCCGGTACCGACCCTCCTCCAGTGCTTGCGGGCCACATTCGAGGCTAAATTCATGGTCATCCAAACCAACTTCGATACTTTGTCGGACCGGATGTCACAGATGGAGTCGCGTGCCACCACACACCCCTCCTCTCTTCCCCCCCCCTCCTCTTCCCACACACATCCTCCTACTGGATCACACCTCCCCTCTCCCCAATCTGGTATCCCGCAGTCCTCCCCCCCACCCGCGTCATCAGCATCATTGCCTACTTCCTTTCCTTCTTCAGCTGGCGTCATCTAAACTCTTGTCTCTTCCACAGCATGTAACACTCTCTCACCTCATCACGTTCTTCACCCACCATGTGCGCCTCCTACCCGAAGACCACTATCGGCCACACCAGCCCCCTCGTGAGCAGGCCTGGCTATGGCCGCTCGCGCTCGCTGCCCAGCAGCGCGTCCACCACTATGCGCCCGTGTGTGCCCTCCAACCAGCTCCCTGGCAATCCGCTCGATTTATGATCCAGCAGCGTGGCAGCGATGTCGAGCAGAGCCCGAATGAGCCTCCCAGCAGCTCATCACTTTCCTATATGGAAAGCGCACTGCTGTGCTGCCCTGCTTCGGGCCTGGAGGCCATGTTCCCAGTAGCCTGGCTTCAGGCGAAAGTGTCTGCGTCCAGGCCCAATGCACACAGTGGCCTGGGCCCGCAACAGTTAAGCAGCCAACTGTGCGACATGGCCAGCGTCACTCTCTGCAATTCTATTGGCGGAAAGGCCTCTGGCCACGTCGCTGCCTGGAGGAGCCCAGAGGCTCACAGTGTCGTGATCCCACTGGCGTAACCAACTGGCATGTGGCCACTTGCAGAAATGACAGAAATAGGCCTCAACTTGGAATGCAGACCCGCCTTCACTTAGGGCGGGCACGAGGCTAGCTGGGGGCCTGTCTGTTATCGCCTGCCAAGGTCTGAATGGCCTTGCAAGGGGCTCACTGTTCGCACATCTCAGTGGACTTTCGAAGCTAAGGAGGGGGGAGTGTGAGAAGTTGATCCCTTACTGCCCCCTTATGCGCCATATCCAATCGGATGGCCAAGCCTAGTCGGCCGCGGGGGCGGTTACCTATGGGCTGGCAGGCGCTTGTGGGATCTGAGTGCGCCCTGGCTGTGTGAACGGGCCCGGGCTTTTCTCAGCCGGCGCCCGGGGGCTGCTGCGTCACTCACTGGCCGCTGGCCAATGACAATGAGGCGTGCAGCTAATGCCACGTCACACGCTGGGGGAACTTCAACCAATTCGGTCCCAGCCCAGTATCTGCATCTGGGACTGGGCACATATCCCTCTCGGCGACATGAAGCTACACGGCCCTGACACCGAGCTCCTTGCATTTAGGAAAGAGGTCGCGACGGCAGTCTGGAGCTTCCTCGTGATAGCGCTGCCTCACTGTTCGCTGAAGGGAGAATGCGGACTGGAGGCGCTCACAGGCGCAGGAGGGAGTTGATGCCCAGGGCAACGCCTGTGCACTGGCCATGGCCCAGCTGCACGCGTGGAGACCTGGTACTGGCAATGGTGGTCCTTGGCATGGGGAGTAGACGACTGTGGAAACGAAGGGCGTGAGTGAGAGGGAGGAGAGACACGTACCTGATGTGTAAGCGGCAGTCTGCATGGGTGACTTCTTCGTGTACATTGGTCTTCGTCTGGAAGTGATCGCTGGTTGCATCGTCATTAGTGGTAGGCTAGTATAGGTTCTGAGTAGAAATAGGCTGGATGCTGGGTGCCAATCAAGAAAATCGACATTGGATACATCGTTGATGATGGCGAGTAGAGGCTGACATTGACATTTGAGTCTTTTGACTCAGTTCTTTCTGCTTTCTGCTTGGGACACCACTCTCTGGTCTTCCATGTGATGTCGCAATCTGGTTTTTCTTTCTGTCACTCTCGCTAAATTTCTTTGCAGTACACTTACCAGTCGTGGAAAACCAATATTACAATGGAAGCACCTATCGCTGATATAGTTAAAAACCTGAGATCTGGATTTTGTGATCAAGTGGGTAAACCACATCTCAGATTGGCCTGGATGACCACTCTCTGAGTGACTGGTCATGTAGAAGTACCATGAGAGAAAAGTATTTCAGAATGACGGATCATATGGAAACACCTTGAGGGAAAGGAGAAGAGAAGCTAAGCTGCCAGGCAGTAAATCACCTTCCACATATCAAGTCAGGTACGACTAGCCCTCTGTCCCATTCGACATGAATGGTCCCATTATTGCAGATTCACCGGCGTTTCATGCCTGTTCGTCGGTGGTGAATGCTCCTGTATCCCAAATGGGGATCCCGACTGTCAGGTTTTTGGACGAGAACGCAGATTGCACTTCAGTTGCTGTTGCCACTTTGTACAAATTGGAGCAAACGGTATTGCGGACATGCTGTATAAGACTTCTAATGACCTGACCAAACACGAACTGAGACACACAGCTGATTTCTGAGGTTTGCTCATGGAATTAATGCCTTGCTGAGTTTCCCGCCTGTTACCGAGTTCTCTAAGTCTGTGTGTGTGCACACTTGCTGGTCTGCATGTCTGTCTGAGTGCTTGTCGGCTTGAGTGTGTGTGTGTGACCCACAAGGGCACTTGTTCATTCAGTGGGCCCAAAGGGCCGGTACTTACCTGTGGCTGTGACATTGAGGATTGCAGTGGGGGAAAACACTCAAATGGCGGGGAAAGAGGTCGCGGCACTTGAAGCAGCGGAAAACACTCAAGTAGCAGGTAGGCCGGTACCACATCAGGTAGAGGTAGATGTGCCGGGTACTTGAGGCCGAGCAGAAGAAGACAAAAGTTGGCATTTTTAGAGGCCCAGTAGTGATAGGCTAGGTCTAGTCTGGTACCAGTCCAACCAGTCTGAGTCTAGGGCCTGTACGGGCAATATCAGAGTCTGCAATGATGTTTCCCTCCGAAGGGAGGAGGTACCAGTTGCTTGGAGGCCGCGCAGCCTAGAAAGTCACTCGCCAAGAGGCAAGCAGGCTGCTATATCTCCAGGAGGAGCCAGTTGTTCCTCCTCATTGTCGGTGTGCAAGTTGGCAACACACTGGTTGGAGCGCTGGCTGGAGCAGCGCTAGCACTCAGCTGTGCTGCTGGGGAAGGAGCAAGGACACGGAGGAGGAAGAAGACCAGGATTAGGAAGGGGAGCACCAGAGGTACTTTCATGGCTATGGTGGATGCCATCTTCATCACCTTGGTGGGCGCTGCAGCAGGAAGGCCCCAGTCGGGGTAGAGCTACACCAAGAAGCTTTGAGGCAGAGTCAGGCATGGCGGTCTGCGCTAAAGCAGCCGTAGCTGCTTTGTGTTGTCCTTTGGACAGCAGGGCGATGCCCTGGTAGTCCGCCATAGCCTCGGCCTATGAGGAAGAGAGAGAGGGGGGGCGGCCATGGCTATGGTGGACCTCAAGTGATATCTGCAGTCGAAGAGGAACTCGGACATCGATTCTTTCAGCCATTCAACATTGTTATTATTATTCTTGTTTGGAAGAAGAGGGGAAGCGATAAGGAGGAGGAGAGTGGTTGGCGAAGAGGAAAAGCATTCTTCTTGTTCTTCTTGTTCTTGTTCTTGTTCTTGTTCTTCTTCTTCTTCTCTCTCCTCTCAGTTTCTTCTTGCAATTGGACGACATTGTACTTTCTGATGAATGTGTACTTCGAAATTGGCCAGGATCATAAGAGACTTGAATTTTCGAGCAAATTTTGAAGTGTTCTCATGTGGTGTCAGTGCGCATCTTGTGTATGGAGTCTTGCATGATGGAGCATGGATTTGTAAAGTCGTGAAAGCAGAGTGGAGTCATAGGATAATTACAAAAATCACAAATTCTGTAAATTTTAGATGCAGGAAATCAGAGATATGTCCGTGTGCATTATTCAATTCCTACCACACAGCACACAACCGTACTAATTCCTATTTTGTTTCTGCTGAGGTGCACAGTGTCTTCTTTCTTCAACGATGACTGCGAGGGATACAAACAGGTTATCCCTCGCCGCCATGGTGCGCCTGGCCTGCTGTTGTAGGCAAATCCTTGAAGTTACAGTTATCTATTTTGGAGTCTGATAAGTGCACGTAGGGCTGTTATTTAAAACTGAGAAAGGATAGCAAAGTGCAGGAAACCGAATGAAACTTGCAAAATAACAAACAGCTCTAGAATGCACAAAGTCGTTGTACATGCCTGTGAAAACATTCAATTGTAACTGTGGGACGCTGGACCCGATTTCCAGCAGGTGCAGCTCCCCACCAATAGATGGAGCCCTGGAGGGTGCTAGTGGTGTCTGGTCGTATCAGCACCACTAGCAAACAGACAGGTGTTCTAAAAAAAAAAAAAAAAAAAAAAAAAAAAGAATGCACAAAGGCAGAAACAAAGTTGCCAACTGCTCAGTCCCACCATGGGGCTTACACTGCTGCCATTTCGCCAATGACATATGCAATCCCAGTGTGTTTCAACTTGCTGCAGTCCTTGCTCGCCAGGGACTCAGGGATCCCACCATACCAACCCCCATGTTCAGCAATACGGCAAGGATTATGCATGGGGATCGACGAGAGCAATGCCAGGGACTTTATTTGAATACGTACCACGGCTAGGTCAGACTCACATTCATCCTTGATACTCCTTGCCTCATTTGCCTTTATATTTGCAACAGCTTCTTCTGCCTCAACAGTGGCACGAGTTGCCTCCACTTCCTTTGTCTCTCCTTCAATCACTGCTAAAAGGGCACTTGTCTCCTCGGCGGTCTGCAATAAAACAGGCCTGAGTGCCTCTAACTCGTACTTCATCTCTGACACTTGGCCCTCGGCACCAAGCAGTTTCTCCAAGCCAACCTGTCAAACCGAAATAGAGTAAATAAGAAAGCTAAAGTCGAAAGAAATGATGACTAGTGTGAGTCCTTCGGGAGGCCAATTTCATATTGATTTGGTGGATGCTTATGCAATCAATCCTGTCCTTCGATTGACAAACTCGTGACTTAACTCCTTCACGGCCGAAACAGTCAGCAACACCAGCAATTAGAAACCATGCAGAATGCAATGCTTCAAAGGTGGATCGAGGAGGAAGATTAGCATCTGTCAGAGACCTGAATACAGGGTGGTGCTTGAAGCATAGAAGTCCTTCGTCAAGTCGTCTGTGGAATGAGACCCATCCATGCTTTAAGACATCCATGGGCAAGCATGATTGGATGTCTCTGGCCTCCATATCTGCGTAAAGTTTTGGCTAATGTTCTGCTCGGATCTCATATCCACACTCTGTCCTTCAGGATCTTGCGTGGAATGCTAACCTTAGCAAAAGAGTGGCATGCCTCATGATGTGAAATGACAGGTCTACGGCTGAGGAAAACCTGAGGACATCTCCCATTCGTGAGTCGGATTTTCATCTCATTTGCCAACGAGTTTTCATTTGCCATTGAAAGACTAGGTTTTTCTTGGCCAAAATGCAAGGCCAGATCTACTGGAAAAATGCGATTACATCCCGGTCTGAAGCCATATGAATAAGTGGAAAAGCGGGGTTCATAAATAGGTTCTAAGATCATTCTAAGAGCTTCTTGTACGATCCTGTCCTGGAAGCATGATACTCCCAGTGGACACTTTTCGTTCTTCCTAGGTTTCGGCGGAATACGAGTTGTTCCCCATTCAAATTCTCCTTTGACTATCGCGTCTCTGTAGCGGTACCCCTATGCCCGGCAGTGAGACCGGACCAGTTTCAGGCCGTCAGCCTGACCCTGGTCCGGTACCAGGTGGTTCCCGTACCTAGACCTAGGCCGGTATATCACTTCGGCCATTCATTCTTCATTCGTTCATTCATTGAGCCAGACTGGACCTTCACTCAGCTGCTGCTTCTCGTGTGTGTCCATCTCCTCTCTCTCTCTCTCTCACCATCTCCGCACGTGCCATCTGCACGTGCGTCACATTGGTATCGGAGCGGGTTTTCGAAACTCTGCTCCTCCTTCCCTCCCCCTCTCGCTATCCTACCACCACGGATAGCCATCTCCAAGTTTGTTCTTGCAGCTGCACCTGGCCCGTCAACGCGACCAGGTACGTTCGTCATCCAAGCTGGCGCCTTTCTGGACACCGGCGCTACTTCAGCTGCTGCAGTCACCTTACCGGCTGTTGATGCCGACCTGCTGCCGCTCATGCTCTGGTTCGACAGCCTGCTGCCGCTGGTGCTCTGGTTCGTCCTTCGCCCGTCGCTCCTGCCCGGTGAAGTGTCTGGATTGCGGCGACCTGTGAGAAGTTCAGCGAACCTTACCATTTAGAGGAAAGAGAAGTCGCAACAAGGTTCCTGCGGGCGAACCTGCAGAAGGATCATTGACACGTGTACGACCGACTTCCCACCACGTCAGCGCCTCGTTCCCCCCCCTGGCTCCCCTCTTTCCCAACTCCAATCCCAACCCCTCTCCCTTCCCCCCCCCCGTTCTGTTGCCATCTCCCGATCTCCCCGACTGCTGCCCACCCCATTCCCCCCAACTCCAATTTTTCACCCCCGATTCCCGGATCTCCCCGTCCTTACACCCCCGATCCCGACTCTCCCCCACTACTCCGCTACGCCGCGATCCCGACCCCGACCCTCTCCCACCACAAGTGCTACCATCCCGACTCCCCCTACCCTCCCCACTCCCTTTCCCAATCCCGACCCCATCCCTGATTCTCCTCCAATCTCCCCCCAATCCCATACCCGTTCCCCACCCGCAGTGCCCCGCCCCGATCCTGACCAATTCCCCACCTTCAGCCTCTCCTCCGCCGATCCCCATCCGGCCTTTCTCCGCTCCCGCTCCCGACCCCATCCGACTCCGAACCCCTCTGCGCGCACGTGCGCGTGACTGTCGTACTTCCTCCAATCCCGATTCCGATCCTCCCCTTCCCCCCACTCCGACTCTAATCCCGACTTCCACCCCCCTCCCGCTTCCAATCGCACTTCTCGTCCCCCAACATCGATTTCCCGCCCCGATCCCTCGTATCCATTTCCCCACCGTCCCTCCGATCTCCATTCTGCGTCACCCCGATCCCGATCCCATCCTCCCACCCGTCGCACCCCCATCCCCCCCCAATCCCGACCTTCCTCGCATTGTATCCCGCTCCCCCGCTCCCCC